AAGCCGAGGGTTTCGTTTCGCAATTATGTCTGGGTGCAACTGCTAGACTCTACAAGCATAGGGGTATAATGGTCTTTTCAAGACAAACTAAACACACACATTATTTACGAACGTGTCACTGCTCCTTTGACTTAAATACTTCTCAGTCTTAGGGTATTCAGTGTAATTACTCATTATTAAATTCATGTAAAGGTGGATAATGCGATAATACAAATAGTAGCGTCGATTCTGAATATAGATAGTAACATGAATTTTTAAAGTAGAGATTGGCCAACAAATGTAGTATCTCTCTTTTTTTTTTTTTTGTCATCTGTTGATTATTATTGATAAACAAAACACAAGCATACAAAGCCGGAGAATAAAAACTTATTCCCGGAGTTTAAACCGGCAGAAGACATGTAATCTCCGGAGACAATAAACCAAACATAAAAAACGGATCAAGCCTAATGAGAAACCAACGATAACGGATATCCAACAGAAACTCCAAAATAAAATATTAAATAGGGAAGAATTGAATCTCTCACTTAATCTCCGTCCCAGGAACCTTTACACTTAACGCACGACCCGACAAATGTAGTATCTCTATTTCACTAGATTTCTTTTGATGATGTGATATGAGTCTGCTTTGGTGAGAACAATATTTTCAAAACTAATACAGAGGTATATATTAATATTACTTTTAGGATCTTGTTTTTTCCTCGTTCTAATCAATTTGGACCTCAAAAATTGAAAAGAAGAATATAAAAATAAAAAGCTATACCAAAATGGGCACAAACCCAATCAGTGCCCATTTGCACCAACCTCTTTGTCTTTTCTCCGGTCGTTGATCGATCTCCTACGACTCATTTCATCTCTACGTTACAAAAAACAAACCAAAAAAATTAACTTTGGTTTTTGGTCAATTTCGATTTTGAGTCGAGTAAAAACAGATGTTTTTTTTTAACCTGAGAAAACTCCAAATGGAGTCATAATGAAGGAGGCCAAGCAGTTTCCTTCGTTTTCCTTTGTGAATTACTTCACCTCGTTTTACAACAGGTAACTGCTTCACGCCTCTTGCCTCCATCAACTCCTTCGCTACACCAACCGTCGCGTCTGGATAACAAGTAAGTAAACCGCGTTCTTGGCCTCGGTAGCTTATTTTCTTAGTACACACAGAAGAAACCGGACATGTATTCTCCTGCAAGAGACGAAGACTTATTCAATTGAACTGTAATTTAAAGAGACGATCGGTGAGACTAAGGGCGTTTGTTTTGTTTCACTACTTACATCAAAGATTGTAGAGACGTTATTTGACAAGTATCTTCTGATATCGCCGTGTGTTAGAATTCCGGCTAGAAACTCATCGTCATCGACCACCATAAGGCAGTTTTGGTGGCTATCGTTAAGGATGTTTCTTGCTTCTCTTAGAGTTGTTCCTGAAGAAACTTTCACGTAGTTCTTTGACATAACCCGCATAACCTTTAAGTCTTCCAGAATAGTTTCTTCATCCAAAAGGGAATTATCGTCAGGGTTCTCTATGACAGTAAGCTCAACGGAGTCAGCATTATCCGTGTGTCTCCAGACGCCTTCGGTTTTACGGTCGGAAGGTGAAATAGAAGAGTATCCTCTTCCTGTGCTGCGACCTTCAGATGAATCACTCTCTTTCCCTTGGTTTGCCACAGAGGGAACCCATATTGCTAAACCAACTGCTCCCTGTTCATAGATAATGACAGAGAGATAAGATCAAGAACAACTTGATCAAAATACGAACCAGAATGCAGCATGTTAAGTGGAAAAGAATGTTTTTTTTTGTAATCTACGTACAAACTAGCTCTGGACCTCTGGTTAAGAACATAATATTACAGTGACATGTTAAGCGGTACATTTCATAGTGTCAACAAGGGCCTTACTGCTCAATTAGTTAAAAAGGCAAACCCGGGAAAATGTTATGAATCCGCCTTTATTAAGTGAGTTTATACAATAAGCACCATTGAAACTGAACGGAAAAGAGAATGTTTACCATGAGGGGAAGCAAAATTCTATAATCTTTCGTTAGCTCGAACAGCAGTAATACTGATGTTAAGGGAACAGAGCACATGGAAGCTAGTGTCGCTGCCATTCCAACCTGCATCACATATAGAATGAGGGCATCTTGATAAGTCAGATCATAACAACCGAATTGGACAGTACTAAAATTTAGTTTTAAGAACTGCACTGAAGCAAGGGCCTGCGACAAAGGGAATACAATACCAGAGCGTAAGCTTGTGGTTGAGCAACAGCAGCATTACCAGGAATAGCTCTGTTAATAATCTCAGCAGCCGAACCACCAAACACAGCACCAACAGCAGCACCAATCATCAAACTTGGTGCATATAGACCGCCTACAAGCCCAGAGCCTTTGCAAAGAGCTGTAGCCACAACTTTGGCTGCGGCTAACTGAGCTAATAACCAGATTCCAGGAGCTGAAGCACTCTTTCCAGTATGCAAGATTTCCTCAACATTTGTAAACCCCCAATACAAAATTCCAGGGTACTTGAGAGCAATAATTCCAGCTCCTAAACCACCTAATGCAGGGCAAACAATAGCAGGAAGACCAAATTTGTCTTTGATGAAGTCGAACGACTTGGTAAACCATGTGACGAGACGAGAAAAAACAACGCTGACAGCACCGCAAAGCATGCCTAATATCAGGTACAGAGGGAGCTCTGGATACAAGTGAAAACATGTTCAGAAACTTATACACAAATCCTCAATGAAGCAAATAAACATCGGCATTCATTATTTAAAGATACCAAGATTCTTTATGATATATCCGGACACTAAAGCATAAGCTACAAGAAAATCAGACCACAAGACTAATTGGAAGGTTTGCAATATGAATTTACAGTGAAAGAAACATACCTGCAGCGGACTTCAGGTCGTATGATGGAACTGTGAAAGCGGATTGAGTCCCAAGCAGCGCATTCGACACAGTTGATGATATAACAGAGGCCAATATTATCATTGCAGTGGTAAATGGAGGGGAGTTCTCGGCACGTAGAGGTCTTAAAACGGTCTCAATAGCAAAGAAACAACCCGCCACTGCTGCATTGAAACCTGTAACGAGAAACAAAGATGGAAAAAAATCAGATTTTAAACAATGAACAAGCCAAAGTGCAGCAAATTGAGTTCCTGCTTGGGAAAAACAAAGAAACGTACTGCCTATCTTAGTGATCTTATTTTTAGTAAGAAACACCATTACCCACGATCATACTTCAAAATAGCCATACGTAAACTATTTTTCAGTAATTACTTTCAGCTAGATGCTTTGTCTAGTAGTAGAACCTAAGAACCATAGGCACAGTTGTAGGCTATAATTATATAGTACATACGCACTTCTGGGACCAAGAGAGTGAGCGAAAAGAACGAGGGCCACAAAGATTGCATAAGCCAAAAAGATACCAGGAACCTAGTATGGACATTTATTAATTAAATTCACCAGGTTAAAGCTAATGTTAAGCAGCATATTACTAGAGCGAAGGAGCTATGTTGCTGTTCTGTGCATTGACAATCCAATAATACATAGATATCAATATAGAAGGTGCATAAACTGTTAAAGAAGAGGTATGGTGTAGATTATACCAGATGCAATCCCAGAAGCCGCACCAGCTGCAGTGAGAGCTATTCTCCTTTCTCTGTTGTTTTCCATCATGAGTGCAAAACCGTTGGCACATGACTTTCCAATGTCGACGCTAGGTCCTTCAGGACCCAGTGAACATCCTGTACCAAGGGTCACAGCAGCTTGTATGGCCTTTATCACTGGATAAATACCAGCAAGAAAATCTAGTCCTTGTCTTTGAGAAGAAGTGGATTGCCTGATTTGGTCTAAGATCTCAAGCAAACCGTGCATCATTCCGACTATAACACCTCCAGTGACCGGAATTAGAAGAATCCGATGCCAAGTATCAGCAAGTCTCTGTAGACGAAGCCATGCAGCACCTTCGTTGGGAGTACCAGCCCATGCCCACTCATGAATGACATGAACCTAAGACAAAAACACTACTCTATTGAATCAGCACTCAAATTGTAAATCAATCGAATCAATATAGATCGAGATCTGATGTATGACCGTACCCCTTTATTGAAGCCGGCGACACAAATTCCAGCGGCAACACCGATAAGACAACCGATGAGAAGCAGAGCCCACTCAGGTGGAGCACTATCTCCGAGAACTTCTTCATCAAACCCGTACTCGTCATTTCGATCATCGCCGTTATGTAAATTACTGATACCACCACCATCGTCTACTCCAGCAGCCGACAACGCGGAAGAGGAAGACGGATTATGGCGCTCTCTATCGACTCTGATATTCTCCATCCGTTTAAAGCTTAAACGACGACCGGAAAGTGAAAATCTCCGATCTAGATGCTTGAACAGATCCCTAACTCCTCCAGCTCCATTTCTGACAGCCGGAGACTGAGATTCAACATCGAGATCACCATCTCCACCGCCAATGCCTACTTCATCGCCGTCGGTGGATCGTAACAGATGTCTGTCTTCGTTGTACTCTCCGGCTCCTCCCGATGACATTATCTGATTTCAATTGGCTGTTACCAACACATCATCCCTTCGCCGTGATAGTTCACGATTGCATCAATTTCGTCTCTCCGGGACGAAATATAAATCTACGCCGCAGAGATTCGTCGCCGGTGTTGTTCAGATTTGATCGGATTCAGATTCCGAGAGAGTTTTTTTACCGTCTCTCGATAAAGAAACACGCGGCAGGAGTCGTAAAGAGAACCTTCAGTGTCAACTAGAAGATTCAAGCCAAGCCATTTATGGGCCTTTATTGGGCTCAGTTTTGTTACGTAAGAAATATTTTAAATTTATGTTTTATTTTGCACGACAAGTCGATATGTCCGAGTGGTTAAGAAGACAGACTTGAAATCTGTTGGGCTTCGCCCGCGCAGGTTCGAACCCTGCTGTCGACGGTTTTTTCTCGTTTTTTTTTGTTGGTTATTTCAATTTCTGCTAACAACGGCTGCACAACATGTTTGAGAAAGGAACATGAGACGTGAGGAAAAAAAAACATCTGATTAATCGAAATCACAAAATTGCCTTTTGAAACAAAAACTAAGATCTTCTATATTTTTTAAACATTGAAATAAGATGAACATAATGCCCTTTCTCCACCATGTCTTTTACTATCTCGTGAGCCTCTAAAACCTTCCCTGCGTTTCTTAGATTGTTCACCAGTGTACTATACACCACAAAATTAGGGTTACACCCTCTTGACTCCATTTCCTTGAGCAACGAGCACGCCTCTTTGAATTTCCCCGCCATACAAAACCCGCGGATCATCGAATTGTATGTGAAAACATTAGGGAGTTGACCCTTTTCTGTCATTTCTTTGAACATTTCTTCTGCTTTCTCGAGCTCCCCACCTGATATATACCCTGTGATCATAACAGTGTAACAAACAACATCTGGCGTGCATCCAACTTTCACCATTTCGTCCATAAAGTATTTGCAAGCTTCTAACTTCCCAGCTCGGCTTAGCCCGTCTACCAGAGTAGTGAAATGGATCACACCGGGCTCTACTCCAACTTCCCTCATATGAGTTAGTAGGTTAAGAGCGGCGAGAGGCTTGTTTCCCGTTGCTAGATGGTGGAGGAGGATATTGTATGTATATAAATCAGGAGAAAACCCGTCTTTAACCATTTCATCGAGTAATCTGTAAAGCCGATCTGTTTTCCCTAACCTAAAGTTTGCAAACATTACAATGTTGTAAGTCAGAACATCCGGCGAAAACCCGTCTTCTAACATCTGCTCGTAAACCCAATCAATCAGCTTGTACTGTTTCACCCCTAGCAAAGAATGCAGAATGGCATTATAAGAGTGTTTGTAAGGTCGGTAATTGAAAGTTTTCGACTTGATGAATTGCTCCACGACATCTCTCGCAAGGCCTGCTTCACCGCAAGTACATATCAACAGATTAAACGTGCATGCCGTTGTTGGATAACCGTCTTTGATCATCTCGTCAATTAGCCTGCACATGGCTTTATACTCACCACACTCTGCAAAGATCTTCATAAGTAAATGATAACAATTCGCAGTGTGCCTGAAATTCTCTTGTCCACCAAACCATACAAAGAACTTGTAAGCTAGCTTAGCACATCTTGTCTTATTATCATAGCTCAGTGTCCTTAAGATCCCAACAAGAACCTCTCTCACTAAAAGCCCTGAGATTGTAACATTCAAATCATCTAAAGCTGATTTCGTATTGAAACCGGGACAATCTTGCTGTAAAGTATCGAGAACCCGAGACGCACCGAGCTTAGCACTCTCCATAAACCTTCTTCTAACAGAGATTTTCTCACCATGTTCCTCCTCGTCAAACCCACAATCCATCTCCGAAGATTCCCAGGAAATCTTCAAGGGCTCTTCGATGCCATTATCGGTTACATCACCACCGATGCTACCACTGCAAAATCTCCTCGATGTGAAGAGAAAGCGAGAAGCTTTACGAACTACAACACTTGTGCTATAATGAACTAAAGAGTTCATATTTGAGTTTAATCCAAAATTGATGTTTCTTCATCATCCCTGACACTTAAAGGAACTAAGCAGACTCGAGAACTCTAAATTCAAAGACGAAAATCTCACCGCCGCGAGCCTCGGATTCGCAAAATCGCAAAAACCCATCAAACTATCGGCTATTAAGCAAATTTTAATCTAGAGTTCTACGAATTCCATCTGAAATCGAAGATTACCTTGACGAAGAAGACGAGCTCGAGGGGTATAATGGTCAATTAGCCGAACCAGAATCCAGGTTCTACTCAGTCGTCTCTGCCTCTGCTCTTTCTTTTTGAGAAGTGAGAAGAGAAATCGCACAATTTTGGAGAGGATCCGACCCGAATTTTATGGGCCCTTAAATGAAACTGGCCCAGCCCATAACGTTATCAACGTGGGAACCACTTTTTGTTTTGTTATATATGTATATACGTACAAATTTTTTTTAATTTCGGTTAAATTAGTTGACTATAGAACTAAAAAGTGGTGTCCGGCGATCAGCGATGTTAGCACCGGCGGAGACTGTTCTGATCACGACGGAGGAGATAAGTCCCTCTGTCGGTGATGTTATCTCCATGTCGGTGCACAATCTAATAGCTTCTGTTTCTAGCTACCGTCCATGGTGGTCGGAATTCCTAGCATTCGGTTCCATTGACCGTCCAACCTCTTTCTCCTCCGCTGCCTCGCGTGCTAAACTCAACCTTTGCCACTTTGTTGTTAACTATTTTCTTTTAACCGCAGCTTTGGTCACACTCTTCTTGATCGGTGATCCGGTGGCTCTTCTCACGCTTGCCTCCTTTGCGGTCATGTGGATGCTCCTATATTGCTTTAGAGACCATCCGTTGGTCTTGTACGGTCGACATATTAGTGACCGTATAATTGTAGTTGGGCTGATCATTGGCTCGCTTTGGGCATTGTGGTTCATAAACTGCCTCCAAAGCCTGGTTCTTGGTATTGTTACAAGTGTCTTGCTTTGTTTGGTCCACGCCGTCGTACGAAATTCAGACGACCTCTTTGTACAAGAAAAAGATGTTGTTATTCCTTCCAATTTCCTTCATTGGAGCTGACGATGTCATTCCTTCCAATTTCCTTCATTGTTACAGTATTAAGTTTACAATTCACACACGCATTATCATATAATTTGAGCGTGACTTATGAAAATGGTATCAGTATAGGTAATAATTACATGTCCAGTCATGCTTTCGTATTGTTTTTTCTAATCATCTAATGATATCATAAGAATAATTTATGAACCTACACCAAAAAGATTGGATACATTAATACAATAGTAAGTTTTTAAAAACTTATATAAACAAAACCATTATTTATATAAACTACAATAACCGTAACATTTGTTGTAAAACCAAATCTTGTTGTATGAGTGAATACTTTCATCTCCGCTAGAGCCTTTCATAATTGCTCCTCTTGTCTTGTGGAAACAATTAATGGATGGTAACAAGTATCTTAGTTTAAATCTTTTAATTGATTATTTGTACAGAAAAAACAAATTTGACCACAGAATATTCTGTCCAAAAATATTGTAATATTTGACCTATTTCAATTTTGTCTTTAAAGCAGTTGCAAATTTTTTCATTGCAATTTGTTTTCTACCAAAAGTCTAACATGATATAACTAAAAATCGATAACGGCTAATTTGTTTTATTCAATACGAAAGCAAAAAACCACTCATTTAAAGGAAAAAACTTTTTCCAAAACTGCTACAATAAATTCAACATTTTAGCTACAAGCCGTAAATCGTAATCATATATATTAAAAGAGGTGAACTCTCTCCATCTTTCTGACACATCATCGCTTAAAGAGAGGACACGTGTATTTGGTAAAAAAATTAATTAATAGCACATTAAAGAATTCAAAATCTCGGCAAAATCTAACAGAAGATAAAGTCTAAAAACGTTAAGTTATAGTAAATTTTGGTTTTCAATATTTATCTCTCTATAATCAATTTCTTTTTAGGTTTAATACTATCGGCAAACTGTTGAACTTCTCTCCCCTATCCCTCTAAAGCATGGACTCGTGACACTCATCTCTCCATCCTATCATTAGCTTTGGAAGCGAGATTTTTCCTCCAAATTCAAAACAAGTGGAACCCTAATCGTCATCTCTCAGGCTATATCAACCCTAGCCACGTCCTCTTACATCTCCTTATTCTATTTTTTGATCATTTGTCGCAGTTTGACGTCTCTCTTTCTGTTTTGAGTGTTTTTATCATGTTCGCAATTTCATGGTATCAATCGGGAATCTCACGGTCACATCTCAGGTGTCTTCTGTAAATTATTTTTTCCTCCGTCATAGTTAAACCTAATATAAAGTGTTTTGACAAACAAAAAACCCCAATCAACATCTCCCTTCTCAAGCAGAGAAGCTACAACATTGGTTGATTAAACCATAGACTGACGTTCTTATTTCATTCGATGGCAGGGGATTCTATCAGATGATGTCCATGGTGATTTTTCTTATAATTTTGTTTGGGTCAGACGGAATATAATGATAAGGGTCTCCCAAGATGTTCTGCGAGTGTTTTTTTTTTCTCTGTATCCATAGTCCGAAATTATCAAACTTAAAATCCATTGAATTTTGATATTGAATATGTATGGTTTTGAGTGGAATGATTAAGATCGATTACTGTTTTATTCCTAGGTTCATGGATTGTAGGTTTATTTATTAATTTTTAAGTGTGCCCTTATATAGAAACGTTGGAAGCGTCCACTCTTTTATGTCAAGGTTAATATTCTTAACACGATTATGTTTGAATGTTTTCTATTCATTCTCATGAATCCCAATTAATGTTAGTTCAGACGCTAATATTCGTGTGCCTATTGGTCTTAACAGGTTATGCAACTCCTAGAAGAAAAGGTAGAAGACCTTGAAACGCTAGAGCTGACCAGTTTAACAAATTACATAAGCATTGATGGTGATGGCCTCAAACAGAGGCATTTGACGCGTGGACTATGTAAAAAAAGGAATCTAGTATATGCATATGTGGTGGAGACTAAAGAAAAATATGTACATAAACATTAGACCCCTAATTCTAGATAAGAAGATTAAAAAATCATTAAAAAACATTAGACCCCTAATTGTATATCAAGTTTTTCTTTGTTCAAAGGCGTAGGCATGACCACTCCAAAGGAGTGAGTAATCGTGCTCTCCTTGGGTTGAGCAACTCTTGGGAGGAGTAGCAATTTTAAATTTGTAAAGAGAAAAATCTTGAAAAAAATTTTCGGCAAGGGTGACTCTATATGAGCCTTGGCCCATAACTTCCTCTTAAAAGAAAAATGACTCATATTATGATAGATTTAAGTCATTAAGGGTTTGATGAAATTTATTAGGCTAGATGGAAGCAGAAATCAATTAGGTTTTCTTGAGGCAAGGAAGTGTGTGTGGCTTAATGAATTGAATCTAGTTTGTTCTTAAACCTGTAGTCCAAAAGCAGTATTGATTTGGTTTTCACAAATTTTTGAAGCGGTTTAAGAATGTGTTTCAGAAAATTTGTTAGCATGAGACCATGTTAGCTTCATGAAAATATCTTTTAGGTTAAGCTCATTGTAAAGGCTAAACTGTCATTTTAATGAAATTTACATTCTTATTAAAAAAAAAAAAAAAAAATGTAGTGTGCATGCTTGTCTCAAGAGGAAGCCAATACAACACAAAATTGTTTACATGGAAAAATAAAATAAGTAGTTCGTGTTCGGACACCTTTTACATGAAAAGTTTCAAGTAGGCTTATTGAATATATGGAACTTGAACACTTATAGGTAGTATATGTTATTTCAAGATTGACATGAATGGGATAGTACGAATGTAATATGCACAGTAAATGTTAGATTACTTAAATGTTTTAGTGAGCATTTTCCATTAAAATTTCTGGAATCCATGTGTTTATTACAAACAGTTTAATTTCTTGCAAAAAACATTTCCTTCATTATTCATTAAGAAAATTAATTAAGAGAACAAAACTGTTCGTTTCCCCTAGACAAGGCAATAAATCATATCCTAGAGAAGAGTAATCATCTTCTCTATATGCCTAAGCGTGCAATTGAAAAGTTTCTTATATTTCTTCTTTTCCTTTGTCTTATTATTCCTTGTCTATGTTCTTACTTGTGTTCACTATTTTTCTTGGACAGATTCCAAGTTTCTTATTCTTCAAGGTAAGAGAATCTTGGTCAAAAACAAAGAAAAGAAACGTTGAGATTGTGGAGAAATGGACAAGCTCAGTCAGTTGCCTGAGGAATTGCTGGTGAAGGTACTTTCATTTCTTCCAACAAAAGATGCTGTAAGCACAAGTATTCTATCAATGCGATGGAAGTCTCTTTGGATGTGGCTACCTAGGCTGGAGTTCGATTATAGTTGTTATTCAATGTCTAGAGGGCAGGGGTTTGCAAGATTTATTTCTTTGAATCTGCCAGTACATAAAGCTCCGGCCATTGAAAGATTGAGTCTCAAGTTTAGGTATATAGAAAATGGATCAATCGAACCTGAAGATATCGATTTTTGGGTTTCACTTGCAATCTATAAAAACGTCCGTGAGTTATGTCTCAAGCTTTTATCTTTTGCGGAGCGTCCAACTAAGTTGCCTAGTAGCTTGTATATCTGCAAATCGATTGTGATCTTGACACTGAAAGACGAGATTCTCGTGGATGTTCCTGGTACGGTATGTCTCCCCTCCCTGAAAACGTTGTTCCTTAGACGTGTGACTTACTCGGATGAAAATTCTCTTCACCGACTTCTTTCCAACTGCCCTGTTCTTGAGGATCTTGTTGTGGAAAGAGATGAAATTGACAATTTGGGAAAAGTGAGTGTGATTGTCAAGTCCTTGCAGAGACTAACCCTAAAGATGTCTGTTGCTTGTGATCTTGATGGGCTTATGATGAATACTCCTTCTTTGAAGTATTTCAAAGTCACTGATGAAAGGCTAGACAGTAATGGTGATAGTGATAGTCCTCGATACGCCTACTCTTTTGAAGCTATGCCTAAGTTGGAGGAGGCAGATTTTTTATTGACATTCCAAAATATCAAAAAGTGTTTTAGATCATTCACATCTGTTAAGCGGCTTTCGTTATGCTTAGGAGTCTACAAAGAAGAGGTAATCTGTTTCCATCCATCTATCAATCTCATTTTCGAACAATACCATAAACCGGGGTTTCTTGAGGTTGAATCCTTTGTGATCTTGTGCAGTCTTTATATCATGAGGGTCTTGTTTTCAACCAGCTTGAAACTTTGAAGATATGTTCATGTGATTCAGATTGGTCAATTTTACTTGCTCGGTTACTCAGGGATTCTCCTAATTTACGAGATCTCGAGACTTACGTGATAGAAGTAAGTTTATTCGTTAGAAACCTATTCTCTTGGTTCAATTTACTATAATGTTTAAGCCTAACTTCTCATGTTTGATTACAGGATCATCCAGACAGGCGTGTAAATCTACCAAATCATTGGGACAATCAATTGAATTGTGTTCCTAAATGTTTGTTGTCGAGTCTCGAAACGTTCTATTGGAGTGAGATGCATGGATTGCTGCAGAACCAGATGGATGTGGCTAAATACATCTTGAGAAATGCTCTCTGCTTAAAGTCTGCGACAATCTCTTTTTCGACAACCTATGCGCAAGAAACAATAGATGAGATGATCGAAGAGTTGGCACTTTCTTTTCGAGGTCCAGAAACATGCCAAGTTTTCTTTGATTGAGGATGTGAATCATAAGGATTCAGACTTGCATTTCCATAGACACTACCCTCCGTATTACAATGGTTTTTTATTTGCAGCCGTAACTTGATCTAAACTTAAGGTTTATTTTTTGTTTTTGGTGTTTTTGTATACTTTATCTTTGAGCATACTGTTTTTGTTGAGACATTGGTTTTATCTTCTTCTGATATCTCACATCTAGACTCTCTCTTAGGTATGAAACTAGCTTCACCAAATCACCCAAGTATTTCGTACGAACATTAGCGTAAGTGAAAATGTGATTTCATCTCTCTGTTTCCATAGTGTATACTTTTATGTTCTTCTTGAAACTCTGCAAACCAATCTTTTTAAATGGAGAAATAAGAAAGTTGCAAAAAGAGGGACAAGTCTTAGACAACAACGACAACAGAGGAATATGAAGAAACAGAGATAGAGAACAGATTAGATAGCTTGCAACACAAGTCAAACATATACATATACGAGAGAAAAGAGATTGAAATGAATCATCCAAAGAAGCTTGGGTCGTATCCATTGCTGGAAGTTGCCAAGATGTAGTAAGCAACGATGTGTCCAATAGAACCCCAAGCAAGAACATCAACAATGTTGAATCCAATTGGATCGTTCGATTTCAAGAGGCTGACGTATTCCTTAGCACGATCATCTCCAGCTTCGAAATGGGTTTTTCCGTTCTGCTCCGGTAAACCTTGTTTTGCTACGTTCTCTCTCTGGAAGTTGAAGAAGACGAAACGGCCAAGGAAGAGGGAGAGACCCGTGCTGAGACTTATGACGATGGAAGGGCTTAGCTCAGCTCTCACGACGGCGGAGGATGATTTTCTTCCGGAGGTGGTTGATAGTTTGGGTAAGGCGGAGGACGAGCCACCTAGACGGAGGGGACGGAGACCATGGAATGAGATGGAGTTAGGGTTTTTGTGGGAGATTGCAGTGGAGAATGTGGTTGGTGAGAGCAAAGCTGATGCACTTGAGGCCATTTTGCTTCTTCTTCTTCTCTAAGAAAATTTTCAGTGAAAGAGAAATGAGTGGTTTTGGATTTATGATCTTGAGTAATCTGTTTTGGCTTCTGTGAAGAAGGAGAAGCAGCAGAAGAAGATTTTGTTTGTGAGGATACGATTACGGATGGATGATGTGGCATTCTCTCGTTGGTTCTTTCTGGATTATGAGATTTTCAAAGAAAATAATTGCGCTCGACCTCCTGTAATTTAGTCAGATACAATTTAAAAACCCTATTTTCTCTTTTGTTCAATTTAGTCCACAATCTACATTATATAGTACAGGAAACAGAAATATTATGAAACATTATATCATTGATCCAACAATCGGCAGAAACAGTTCTCAAGCAGAGTTCTCCTACAAATGACTATAGCCAAATAACGAGCCACAATCGGCAGAAACAGTTTTTAAACAGAGTTCCTCTACAAGTGACTTAAAGCCAAATAACGAGCCACAAGCTCGACTAATGTTGTCTTTGCCTAGAGTTGATACTTGATGCAAACTCACGCCGAACCTCAACACTTATGTACAATACATAAACTCAAACACTCAGATAAAAGAAAATCAACTAACTAAATCGGCTCTCTGTGACATTCCTATTAGTACTTGCACAACACATCATTTACACCATTAGAGATCGACTTGAGTTTTATGTTTTTTCTTTTCTCAGGTTTTCTCAGTTTAACAAAGCGACAGGAGAGTGCGGCACATATGTATAGGCTCTTTTATTCCTCTGATATCTCGGGTGATTATAGAAATGAATCAAGGTAGGAGTAGTTGTGGCGCCGGCCATACTCAATTAGACTTCCGTAAGTGCGGTCCCAGACGCCGATGAAGAGTGCTTCTGTGTCGGGGCTAAATGATATTCCCGAGATCTCCCCAAAGAAGTCGATCTCTTGCTCCGTTTCATACCCGTTTGAGACATCATACACATGGACAAAGTCAGCCGGCTCAGCCATGGCCATGTATTTCCCATCAGATGTGTAGCGGATGGATCGGATTGCTCCAAGGTTACCCCTCAAGACAGCAACAGATTTAGAAAGGTTACGAATGTCCCAAACCCGGCAGGTTTTGTCCTGGTTACCAGTGGAGAAAGTGAACCCATCTGGATGCCATGCCGATGCAAAGGAAAAGTCCAAATGTCCTGATAACGTTGCCAGCGTCTGTCGAAAATTCCAAATTTAGTTCGGAAAGCATATGTATTCAGGGATACTTAAACACAGAGATCGTATCTGTACCTTTCCAGTGTTGGGTTCTACCAGAAGGCCTTCTGGGTTATCTCCCACAATCGTCAATAATTTACCATCAGGACTTAAAGATGTGTGCTGTCCATACCAAAAAAAAAACTTTCGTTAAATGATTTGTGGGTACAACTACATTTAGAATTTCGTTATGTAAAAGAAGATATCCGATTTGTAACTGAAATTACTGCCACAAGCGCTACAGATCAACTTATACCAAGCCAAAACCAAAAATCAAGAAACAAGTGGGGACTTACATTCACCGGCCATGGAAAGCGAAAATGGTTAACAAGCTGGTATCTCTCCATATCAAAATCTCTGACTCCACAATCATTATTCGAGGCAGTAAAATGAAGTGCCCCACTGCAGATAGACAAACATCAAAAGATCGGTTAGAAGCTGGAAGTTGCACAAGTTGGCACAAACAACCTCAAGCAGAAGACATGCAAAATACCTGGGTTTGTTATAAATCTCAATAGCATTGGTTATAGCATTATCATCATAAGTTGTACGTGAACAATAGCTCACACCAGGTCTATCAAGATGCTGGATCAAATAAATGTGGAAACAGATGAAGTTCCTTGATTACATTGCATGTAATTTTTGTGTGGAATCCATGATTCGTAAAAACCCTAGAGCTTACCTTGCATATAAGTTCTCCTTGAAATCCACCGGCAACTAAAAATTTATCTCTCACTGCGAGTGTACTCACTTGAGTCTTTGTAAATCCCTCCAACAAACTTCCAGGATGTTTCTGCACTCACACAAGAAAAAGAACAAAGAACCACCATTAACTGATGTAGGTGTTAAAGAAGAATCCTTTCTCATTCTGGAACAAACTAACCTCAGATGGGGAAACATGACCTTGAACATTGAGAACTTCATGCTTTCCAGATGTCAAAGTAGAATAGTGGCTCACCAAATATTGTGACATAAGGTAGACATCGTGCTTAGAAGTTGCCCAAACCAAATTCCTCAACTACAATACAAAGAAAACAACTTTTTCGTTAGATGTCTGCGTAGAAATAGTTTCTAGCAGAATAAACATTCTAAGTATCCATATGAGTTTTAACTTAGGTTGACAGTTGTAGCAATTTGTACATCCTCATTACCCACACACATGACATACTGATTGAATTACCAAAAAAGAACATCGACTGAATAAAAAAAAAAAGATATGTTTCAATGATATGAACCTGGAAATGAAGAATACTTGATTTGATAGATCTTGTATTCCGCCAGAAATCGTAAAAAAGGGCCCCTTTCTGTGTGGCCATGCAATCCTGTATTTATTTAAGAAAATGATAAGTAAGAGTTGAAACCAATATTAGTGAAACATATAGAAAACAACCTAAGAGACATAGAGAATGGAAGACTTACTTTCCCTGAGGATTCACCAGAATTAGGGACATTTTCATAATTTTTATACTGTTCAAGTCTAGTTTGTCTGTATTTCTCTCTCGTAATACTAAGCCTGTCCCAAGGAATCCCCTGGATGTCTTTCCCTTTCCGAGCTTGGTCAGCTGAAGTATCAGCTATTTTATTATTCTGAAACCAAGAACCGACACAACAGAGTAAGAGATTATAGAAATTATTATTAATTCAAGTTAGCATACATTTCAAATAATCATTTGAGACTTCATACAGGAACACTTACTGAGTAGTCAAACTCATCGACATCAGAATCCGAGACAGCCATATCATCCCCACGAAAATCCTCATCTAAATCATCCTCATCCATTTCATCATCCACATCTTCCATGTACTCAGCATCGTCCCCTTGGTAATTAGACATTGTTCAGTTGATAAATAAAAGACACCTACATATATCGAAAAGCACCTTTATTACTAAACTCTGGAAGCCAGGGAACAACAGAAGAAACTACAATATAGTTAGAATCCAATACACCAACAAACTTAAAACATCGAATTGTGACATAAATCGCATTTAGTGAAAAATCAAGCATGAAAACACCATCTAGATTAGGACTCCATAAGAATATCTAACAAGCAAAACGCTTCGAAAGTAAGATCAAACCTGCAATCTCTCTGTACACAAATATCAAAGTCCATGCCCAGAAACCTAAACTACCGACATAATCGAAGAGGAGGGAAACGAAACCAATAATATGTACTTCTCAAGCCTCCTCAAGAACTCAAACCCTAACAATTCCAAAAACTCAGGAACATGAAAAATCAGAGGCGGAGAAAACCTAGGATCGATAGATTCATTCACCTGGCGAAGCAATTCAAGCAATTGAAACAGCCAAATCCAGAGAAATAAAGTATGATTCTAATTTAAGTTTCGAGTTGCATAAATTATCATCGGATCGAATTGAGAGCGAGTCCAGAGCACGAACGGACAAGAAGAGAGAGAGAGAGAGAGAGATTTATCTTCGTTCACAGTGGAAAAGGACGGTCTCTATTTTTTCTGATTTTAATTTCCTTATTTTGTTATACGTTGACGTTTTTACCCTTCCTTAATTCGTATACAGAGTTCTCTGATTGCGAGGGCTGTTTTGTCTTTATCTCATTGCTTTCGTAAGAGTCGCCATCATTATCATGTAACCTTGACAACTGCAAAATCAATAATAATACTAATAATATAGGTTTTGCTTTCATGTTAAACAAAATGGATTCTTCAGAGACTCGAGAGTGTGTTTACTCGTTATCAAAATACCTTGAAAAAAAGATTTACAAAATCTCATTTGTTTAGCTTAGTGTAGTTTTCTTATCTACACCGATTACAACAAAAGGATTTTTTTGGTGGTTCTTAATACTCTGACCTCTCAATCTATAATTATCAAAGACAGGATTGATCATCAGATGTTTTCTTCTTCTTCTTCTTCTTTTTATAACTTAAAAAGTGGAAGCAGAGGGACCTATTTAGAAAGGAGAAAAAAGTTGTGAACCAAGTTAGAAGAGAAGGGAAAGAGCTAAAGAAACTAACATGTGTGTTTTGTTTCCGCTTCTCTCTCTCTCTCTGTATGTGCAGATTTGTATTTATGCAAAACTCAGATGTTCTCTTATGGTTTTTAACAGAACAATCTTCTTCTTCTCTGCACAACAAAAAAACAATCTCGAGTATGTTAGTTATCTCATCACAATGTTCGTTGCTGTACTGAGGCAATTTAGGTACTTACATGAAGTTGGGATTCTCGTAAATTTTGCAGCATTTCATTTATTTCCATTTGTTTCATCACCGTGGCGTGTAAAAGCTGCAGCCAATGAAAATGTTTTGAGTCCATAC